GTTTTTTTTTTTTTAATTTTTGTTTTTTTTTGTTATTGGGTCATTTTTTCTCCAGGTTTATTCTACCAGTTTTTTTTTTAAATTTATTTTGTAATTTATTTTTTTTGTGTTTTTCTACATTTTTTCCCTTCACTTATTTTTTGCCCAGTTTTTTTAAAATTTACATATAAAAAAATTATTAATACACTTAAATAATAAATTTTCTTTAAACTACACAATTAATTATTTTTAATTAAATTTATTAACAAATTACTGAAAATATATTTTTAATTATATTAAACAAAATACTTAAAATATAAATTTAATTAAATTTGTTTATTTTTGTACTTATTTAATTAAAAATATAAAAATTAAGTTTTTAAAATGAAATGTTAATATTTTAAAAATAAATAATTTTCCCTAGTTTTTTGAAAATTAACATATTTATAAAATAATTTTCGTTTTTATTTTTTCCAAAATTTTTTTTAAAATTTAACATATTATAATATACTTTTATTTTAATTATTTAGTTTCTGTACTTTTAATTATAAATATAAAAACGCAAAATTAAAAATAAAATGTCATTATTGCAAAAAAAAATACAAAATGTGTGGCGCTATGGCCCATAGCGACACCATGTCGCTATGGCCCATAGTGCCTCTCTTAAAAAATACATATAATTTAATTTAAAATTATATTTTTATAAAACTTAATTTTCTTTTTATAAATATATAATAAATACTTCAGTTTATTATTTTTATTTTACATTTCTATTATTTTTCATGTTTTTTTTATTTTTTTCTTTATAGAGTGTCGCTATGGGCTACGTTATTTTTCTTAGTCCATCAACTGTGGTGGTCCAGCCTATAGCGACACTCATGTGGCTCATTCCAGCCAACCAAGACTTAAAAAAAAAAATGCCACGTGTCACCGGTGTCGCTATGGGCCATAGCGACACCGTTATAAACAGCCCCAAAGGCGTAAATAGTTTCAAAACAACCTCATTTGCGTAATAAACTTTTAAAACAACCCCACTTTGGTCAAAAAGCCCTATAATTGATATTTTCTCACAACTTTTTAATGTCTTTGTTATTGGACCATATGTAAAAGATGTCCTTCCCACACAAACAAGATAGTTATCTATTTTATATATTTGGTTAAACTTATATATATATATACAATTTTTATTTTTATTTTAATTCTAATACATGTAAACTAAATTATATATGTATATATGTGTGTGACCAAATTAAAAATGTATAAAGTAATTAGTATTTGACAACAGAGACCAAAAGGTTAATATGTAGAGGCTGATTTAATGAATTTTAGGAACTCAATTAAGAATTCGTAACACGTTTATTAATTAAATTATGTGTTTTAACCTTCCTATTTTTATTTTGTCTCAAAACATGTTTAATTTCATTGTTACATAAATATTGTTAGGAGGACATTACAATACACACATCTCTTATAAGAGAAATATAAGTTATTCAAAAACGAATAATTTATTCAATTTTAAGTAATTGTAACATAAGCTCATAAGAATTTATAAAATATATTATTATTAAGATAATTTTTCAAATGGACAGTCAAATTTATAACACAAATTGTTACGTGATAAAAGATTATTAAATAAGTTTAACTAAGCTATTTGCCCAAAACAAATTATTTATGTTGTTTACAAAATAACCCCTTATGTTATATATGGTGGATGTTTGATTTTTTTTTTTTAAAAGTTTGTATGCCGTAAACGTTTTAAAATTCAAGATGCATGTTCATTGATAGAGGATGAATTGTTATTCTTCAAATATATATTAGACTTTATCTTAATTAGGTTGGTCTTAAACCATAATTAGCAGAAGGGGTTGGAAAATTAATCAATCATATAAGGAGTCAAAATTATTTTATTAATGAGGGGCTAAGGAATCAAAGTTATTTTATTAATGAGGGGCATAGATGTCGATGTGCTAAACGCAAGCATCCTCAGTTGTTACATGATGAAGATGTCCTTGTTTCTCCTCAGCGAATAAGGCTGTTCACGGTTGGATTTGAATTTATTTTTAAAATAAAAGTCATCTAATTTAAATATAAAAATACAGAGTTTACATGTGCAGTATAACAACTTATACAACATCTTTTATATCTATTCCTTTTCATCAAATGTATATATATATATATATATATATATATATATATATATATATATATATTCACTTCATTTCTTATCGTAATATATTGGTATACTACTTTTACACCCCTTTCTCTCTTTTTCTTACATGAGTAGTAAAACAAACTGAATGAATAAGTAATGTGAAGGAAAGGTACAAGGATCACTAACATTTATAGAACTTAATGCGTGATACAATTTTTCTTTTTTAAGATTCATAAATTTTTCTAACATTCATCTTATCCTTACATTATTATCTAATCTCTTCCACTGTTTACTTACCTTATCGATTAAAATATTTCTCGCACATGTTAATCTCAATTTTTCATTCGCACATATAATATGCTTGTCTTTTTTCTTATCATTCATTCTTTTTATCAAATATATATATATATATATATATATATATATATATATATATATATATATAATAAAGTAGTGAAAAGAGATAAATACAAAAGTGATGTAGAAATTATTGTATAATTTTTTTGTATGTGTATCAAATCTAATCCAATAAAAAATTATTTTGATTAGATTAGATTAGATTATTTGGTTTCTTCATTTTATTCATTTGTTGAAATGTTTAAGATACTACATTAACACAAATGCTTTCCAAATAGCACAAGTTCACTTTTGTCTCTTCCTTTTTATCTAATCTAATTGTTTTGTATATATATTTTCCTCAAAGAACCTTATCATGATCAAAATTGACACTAGAACATCAATCCTCAAATCATTTCAAAGAGGAAAAAAAATGACTCTGGTGTGTTTACAAAATCTGTTTTCAAACCAATCAGCCTCTAAACCAGTGCTCATTCCTTTTATGAATTGCACATTAGAATGTATTATCTTTCATTTCCTCTCTGTTTGCCTTGCTATTCATCATATAAACATTTTATAATTTAATAACATGAGCAAACAAGATATCCTGATTACTTAGATCTTCCTATATTTAGAGTCATAACGTTTAGAACTGTTCTACATTCCTATGAAACCAAGGAACAAAAAGAATCGAGGATAAAAGATAGCATTACCTACTTACATTCTCAGCCCTCAATTTTCTTGTTTCTGGTTGTCTAACATTTGCTGATGTTTCATTTCTAGAATCTATGTCATCGCCATCTACAAAAATAATTTCATCCCCACCATCATTGTCATCATAGTCATCCACCTCTTCTTCATCCCAATCATCATCATAATCTTCATCAAATTCTTCATCGTCATTATCATCTGCATTTGCACGCAGAGTATGAAACTCCGGAGGAGGAGGGCAATCTTCAGTGATCGCCTCATCCCTCTTTATCACGAGATGCCGGATGACTCTTTCATCTTGGTCCAACAGCATCTTGAAGTCATTGATATATTTCGCATCCAACTCGAAGTTCATCAGCATGTAGTGAGCATTGTTAGCTTTCTTTATTTTGTAAGCTAGCCTTCTCATACCCCAATCATTCAGTCTCCAAACCTGGCCTTTTTTCTCCCTCAAAAAGTCTGCAAATGTTTGCAAAAGATTTAGAAAAATAACCAGAATAATCAGAAAGATCTTTTTATGTGTATCAGCAGATTGCAGCGACTTCTTAAGAAAGCACAAGCACATCAAGCGATCATTGTATCCACTGATCAGGTAATTATTAAAGAATTTAAACAGCAGGTCTTCTTTTTGTTTGCAGCCCAAAACATATATCCAATTAGCCGATAGTGACTGTTTGTTCTTTGTATTTCAACAACTTACATTTTGCCAGCATCAGTTGTACGGAGCCTAGAGACTACCTAACTGCCAGAAGAAAAAGTATATTTTGTGCAAAAGTTTTGCACAGCCTTCCTATTCCTACTGAATAAATAAGGACAAAAGAATTGAAACCCCTCATGAAAATTCCTGATAGAGCATTGGAAAATACACTTACCAGCTATGACTAGTTAACTTTTGGCAAAGGCAGGTAAATAAAACAGATAAGGGATGAGAAGTAAACAACACCTAACCAATTTTAAAAATTTTGCATTTGTCATAGACCAGCTGATCACATAGGACATGACCCCAAGATAGAAATGGTATACTATTGAACTCATTCTATATGGCAATAGGGGAATAGTTATGAAGAGTTAAAAAACAATATAAGTAAACCATGAAAGATTACCTTGAACTTTCTCATTGACAGCTGCAACCTCATCTGCATGCTTCTCATGAATTAAGTAGACAACCTCATAGTGGCGCACTGCATAGGTAAAGAAGCATAGTATTGTGAGATAGTGCACTTGAGATATAGATAAAGATAGGCACAGGGATCTATTATTTTACTTTGCACTGGAAGAAGATGGATAGCTATAATAAGAAGCCATATTACATCTTAAAATGTTTTGGGAAAACATATGCGCACATGCATGCACACAAATACAAGGGTTACTCACGGCATAAAGTTCCCACTTAGGGGGGGTCTGGGAAAAAAAACATGTAAGCATGTGACCTTCGGGTCACAAGACAACAACCTTACTGATGCATCAAGACTCACCCTCTACTCAGACACACATGCAACTTAAGAAAAAAATGTCAAAAACTGCTTGTATATTGGTTTTACACAAGCTCAGAAGTGTGAGATACAAGAGTTGATCCTGACTGCTTTGTTTTGGGTGAGCACAGTTTGGTACCATCAAAAAAATATTGGCCAACTAGAAGAGAACACCACTGTTTGTGCCAGGTAGGATAGGTCATAGGTGGAACCAGGGAGTTTAACAGGAAGATGCATCTAAGTGTTAATTTGTGGGATGAAGTCATCAGGGTCATTGGATTAAAGCTTGTGAGCTCTGGATACCATGCAAAGACCAAATCTTCAAAGGGAATGATTCATCATAACATTATCACCATTTGAACAACCATATACATACAAGACTTGAAAACTCAAACAAATAAAAGAACTACAGAGAGAATGAAAATAATTATAAAAAAGATGTTACAAAACTCCTACTTCTACTAAATTACATTGGTGATAAAAAATTATCTTCTCTAACAAAAAGGACAAAGTATCTGCTTACATATTTCAATATTCATATCACTTTCCATCTCAAGCATCAGCGATTCAAAGAGTTGTCCTGTTAATCAAAACAAAAAATTATTACAAGGAATAATCTCAGTACAATAATCCATAACTTTTTAGCCTATCAAGACCGATGCAAACAACTAGGACAAATTGAACAACTGAACTACGACCACTCACTTTCTTCAGCATCTTCAAACTCCGGGAGAAGCTGCCCTTCTTCCTCAACTGTTCTCTGAAAAACGAAATTCCAAACAAAACCCTCAATTCAACGTCAAAGTAAAAATTCATCTCCTATAGAATAAACATGGTTATGCTAGCTAAATTTCACAAACAAGGATGCAATAGCTAGTGTCATACATATAGGGTCTTTTTGAATAAACTTATCTGAAAACACTTCTAAAAGAAAAAACAAGAAAGAAAGATTAATCAAGCTTCCATAACCTAAAACTAGCTCATACACTAGCTAACTTTTAGCATTTTGGAGAAGCTAAACGAGAGAGCTTTTCCAAATTCGTTTATTCATAAGCTACTTTTACCTTATAAAAAACTTATTTCACTTTTCCTTCTATTTTTTCTTCTTACAAGTGCTTCTGGAGAAATTTCTCCAAGCAGGCGCTACTATCAAAAAGCTCTTGATTGTGAGAAACACTCCCTTCTAACTAACACCTAAGTTTAAGCTGAACAAACCTTCAAAAGGGTATTGAAAAATTGCACTAACCGAGAAAATGAAACCAAACTGAGAGGGGAAAAGAAAAACAAATCGAGGGTGCGAGTAAAAAAAATAACCTTTTTAAGGAGCACAGCTTCGGGGAAGAAACCCGTGACCTCGTCGGGTTTGGGAACAGAGCTATGGTTATCTTCTTTCTTGTCTTTCTTGCGGGCACTCGCAATCAGTGACGATACTTTTCTAGGCTTATTCTGAACAGAAAGTGGCAGTGAAAAAGAAGAAGGGTACCCATTTGCGAATATGAGGCATGGGTTGTGAGTGAAATTGAATCTAACGCAGTTGGATGCCATCATCGTGGGTTTTGAAAGCTTAAGGAGGGGATAAGAAAGAGCAGAAGATGAACCCTTGAACAGTGAATGTAGCTCCATGGAGGGAGGGAATGAATGAATGAATTAGACACACTTCAAGTAATCGATAATCCATGGCTGTATAATTATTTTATTTTATTTTATGGATTTAATCACTGTTATTAAACATGTTTATATTAAAGTTGAATAAATTTAAGTTTAATCTTTATTGTAATTAAAATATGTGTCTAAATTAGTTTTAACTATAGATTTTGACTAAAATGATTGTTTTTAATTAAAAAGTAGGAGACTTAAAACAAATAAATATTTTGTTATCAAGGAAATTTAAAGGTTTTTAATTTTATAAATAAAAATGAAAATATGAAGAGTTTTTTTAAATAATATTAAACTTAATTTTAATTAATAAAAAATAATATAATTTCCAATATCATTTAAGAAAATGTTAAGAAAATATGATTATTATTTTTTATAGTATTTTTAGAAATTATTATTTGATAAGAGTGTTTTTAAAGGTTATTTTAATTTCTTATCTAATTTAATTTTGTATTTATTATATTTATTTATAAATTAAAATTTAATATTTTAAAAATAAATTATTAATAACTAAAATAATATTGTGTCGCAATATAAATTATTGATTTAAATATTTTTAATCCTTATAAAATAAATAAGTTTTGATTTTTGATCCAACAAAATATTTTTTTTTCCTGTCCTTCTAAATTTATTTATAAATATTGATTTTAGTCCTTTTAAAATGAATAAATTTTGTTTTGATTCATGTAAAATATATTTTTTTATTTTCATCCTTTTAAAATTTAAATTCATTATTTTTAGTATTTAATGATGATTTTAAGATAGATAATTATCTTTTACTTTAAGTATTTATAAAAACATTAGAGATATCAAATATCAACATAATATCACTAATGATCATAAATAACAACTAAGATAATTACTTAACTTTTTAATAAATAAAAAATATTTAAAATGATCTAAAAAAAATAGAAACTAGTAGTTTCAATTTTAGAAAAATGAAAAATAAATAAATAATTATAGAGAACAAAACCAAAACTTGTTAATTTTGTAGGAATTAAAAATATTAAGTGCAAATTATTTATCTTAAATCAAAAATATAATTTATATGTTTAAATATATCTATTTATACAAATTTTAAATATAATTTATAAAAATTAATTATATATAATAAATAGTTAACATCTGAAATACCCAAACTATAATACTAGTTGAAATGGATTGTTATATTACATGGATATTTTTAAGAATTAATATTTAACAAGAATAATTTTTTATTCAACCAAAATAGTTTTAAATATTTTATTAATTTCTTATCTCTTTTAATATGCATTTCATATTTATAATATAAATTGTTTACCACAAATTTAATTTTAATATTTACAAATAATAATACACTTTTTTTAGTGAGAAATATCTTCATCCCATCGATGAGTCCCAACAAAAATAAAAATAAAATAATACCTTGAGTTGCTGTTCAAAACAGGAAGCAAACCTCAATCCTAAGTTAAAAAACATTTGTACTGCTGACCTTTGTATGATACGTAGATTTTGTGTTGGTATAATTCAGCAAAATTCAACACCATGCAAACATACAAAACGTTATTTTTTTCGATATATTAATTATTTGAATTAACTAATATTTAAATTAACCGCCAGAAAGTCACAATTATTTTTATTTATTTATTTTTGAAGTCAGAAAGTCAGAGTTATAAATTTAACCAAAACATGGCAAATGTTAGCTGGCATCGTTGCCACTTGAGGATTTGTATATGGTATGGCTGTTGAAATTGCTGCTTGATACAATTTGTTGTCTTAGGTCTGTCTACCATTAAAGCTTTCCTTTGGCCGAGACAGATAGGTCATGATTCATCCTTGTTGCTGTTCAATAGCTCGTCTTGGATAGGAAAATCATACGCAGAAGGATCATTAGTACGAGGCTGTACTAAAAAGGCTAAAAGGATACCAAAAAATTTATTGGACAACAAAATCTACACTTGAGAAAAATAACGCTGTACAATGTGGCTCCAACTCAATTTTTGGGGCTTCATTAACAGATAGCGGCTTTGAAACTTATATGCTTTTCAAGACTTTCCATTGCGATATAACATGATCTTGTTAAGTGGTTATCACCACTGTTTTTTTCCCTTTTTCTTTCTCTTGCTGCTACTGCTAGTACCACTGCTACTGCCACCACTATTATTACCACTACCAGGATTTTTCATCCCATTTCCAGATTTGGGAGATGGGCTCTCTGCTGCAGTGCCATTAAAATTGTCAAACACACCTGCTTGTACTGCATTCTGTAACCACTCAAAGAACTCTTCCTCGGTCATGGTTTCTTCAATATTAGGTGTCGGCATCCGTCCACCTCTTTGACCTGAACTGGTGGTTCCTTTGCCAGAATTATGCTTGGACATTAAACTGGTGTTGACGTGAAAACTTGGCTTATGAGTATTCGCTGGACATCTCATGCCCTGCAATAAATGTGTTCATTAATGCCTTGTGGATCTTTTATCTCCCTACAAGTCTCGTTGAGCAAGTATGCGGCATGAACATGTGAACAACCAGACAATCTAAATATGCTACAATATTTAAAAAGTCACACACCTTACGGCTGAGTTCTAAAACAACATAATGTCAAAATATAAAGAAAAAAAATTACCTGACAGATGTACCATTCAGTGGCATCATATATCCTGCTACCAGCACACACATATGCCGAAGGAGCATCCACCTAAAGTAAAAACCATTCAAATTATTAAGCAAAATTGTATTCTTGCTGTGTATCTCACAGAACCAGGAATTGGCTCAAATAAAATTTGATCTACAAATTATAAGGTGTTCTCTAATAAGAGTTTCAAAATGGTACATTGATTCATACCTTCTGCAATAAGCCAAAAAGAAATGGTTGGGAAGATTGTTCAACCCATCCATCACCATCCTTAGCTTGATGATAATCTTGGCAATCCTTTAAAAAATAAAAACACACCATAAAACATTAGTGCCATGATATGTATGAAAAACACTTTCTCTTAAGGGAAAGCATGCTGAGAGAAAGAATACTAGCAAATATTTTGCAATTATTTAATGTACTTTGCCAACTGTTAGTTAAGCATGCTTCATTGGGAGCAAAAAAGATTAAAGAAGAAACCTGGCACCATCTTGCCCGAGACTTTTGTTTCTTGGTGTGTATCCAAACATGAAAGCCACCACACCTTTTGCAGGCTATTCGCCTAGAATCACCAAATGGGTCCTCACCATCTGCATCTGACCGTGCAAATCCCGAAGGAAAGAACCCATGCTTACCATTCTGGAAAATCAGTTGCATTCAGAGCAAAAGTTAGAAATATATTACAAGGTTCTCTAAATGGTCTGCAGAGTCTATAGAGCACAGACATATCTAAAGAAATAAGAGACAACAGCCCCTTCTAGATAAAGAAAATGTACATGCATGAATACACATCGGATGCATATCCAAAGTATTATGTACCAATCTTCCAAAACCACCATTAAAACATTAGTCATTAGTCATAACACGTCCATTGTTTTGGGATTCTAGTCTCTAACCTGAGCTATCCCATCACTAGTGATCCAAAGTTTCAATGAACAAGATAGATATATATTCTATTCATGACTAGTAGAATCACTTCACTAATCTAGTAAGATTCATGAACAATGAATAGTCATCTTTACTGAGTCTTCTACCTTTTCATTGTTCTTATTCCATCCCCTATACTAGTGAATATTATTCTGAGCACAATGTGTCAATATTATTATGCTTCTTGACCCATAATGTGTGGTTCCTTTCCCCTTCCCACAATCTAAAACAGTTGGAAAAAGAAAGCATAAACCATACCTTACGAGAAGAATCATGAAATCTACGAAATACACTCAAAATCTCTTCTCTCCTTAACTCGTCATCATAAGCTTTTCGCTTCAAGGAATCCATTAGAATCTGGGAAATCATTACAACCATACAATATATATTAGGGAAGAATTACCTCTTGATTTTCAGGGTGAACAAAAATTTAAATCTCACCTCATACGCATTTTGAAGTTTCTTAAAGGCTTCTACAGCTTTTTCATTACCCATATTTTTATCCGGATGTACCAACATTGCCTGATAATCAACGAAAACAGAGGCCGTTAGCAATGAGGAGAATTATCAAGCAAGCAAAAGATTGTATCTGAGTTACAGAAGAAAATGAAACTTTCATCCTACAAGTAACAATATCCAAACACTAATAACTGCCAACATACAAAATCCTAGAAAGACCCATAAAAATTAAAGCATGGCTATGCAAGTATTGACTTCAGAGAATGACAACAACCTTCTTTCTATATTCCCGCTTTAATATTGAAACATCTATATTTTGATACCGCGTCAAGCCCAGTGCAGAATAGTGATCAGAGCAGTTCAACAAACGGACAACTTCATCTTCAGAAGTTACATCAGAATCAACCCCACTAGTTGAAGGGATGCCAGCACTGCGATCTGCAGATGGTCCCGGTCCATTTTCAGAGGAAGAAGCATGTGTCGGTTCATCACTAAATCCTGGTTGACCATGCATTCCAGCTCTTTGCTCAAAAGGATTGGATCTACTCTGTTGATCTATGTTTTTCTTGAGGAAGTATATCAGAACATCACTAGAGATAAAAGCTAAATTAAAAGCCAATAGCAAACCAAGCCACCCAACATACTGCCATGCACAATAGACAGAATACACTGTGGTGATAAGTAGCGCTACCCGTTCATGACTTGACATAAATGCCAATCCTGAATTTCAAATAAAATCAAAGATTTAGTTGGGCAAGAAAATAATTCAAGCAAAATAAATCTATATTTATGTACATTTGTACAGCTGTATAACATGCATACCCTCAACTACCGCAGAAAAAATCATATGTTAAAAATTGACTGAATATGTTCAAAGGTAAGAAGGGCAAACAAATCACCTCCAAGGATAATGAACAGTGCCGTAGTCCAAAAGCTACCATAAAACCACAAGGTAACAACTCCAATGATTGCAAGTACCAAAATTGCAAGCATGAGCCCAAGAAAAAATCCAATAAAGGCAGCCAGGCCCTGATCAATTACAAAAGCTAGTTAGCATTGGAAAAGGAAAAAATTTACAAGACCCAATTAAAGAATGGAATAGAATGAAAAAATGCACAAAATTCCCAAATACAAGAGTGAGGGGGTATATCTAGAAATACGAGTATCATGTCAAATTTATTACATGTGGGGTTCAGAGGTCAAATAGTAACAAGAAGATGCAACTCCAGCATGATTCAACTTATTTATAAACTGAAACAATTTGTATTGTACAACAGGTTTTATAATTTGCTACAGAGACTCCCAGCCCACACAAATTTGTATTATTTGAACAAAACAAAACATTACCATACAATTTTTTTCCTATTTCTGAACTATCACTATCATATTTTATCACCAAATTGCAAAAATTAAAACGTGTACTGGGAAATTGGAAACTGCTTCCAATATGAACAATCTTAAGATAGTAAAATAAAAGTTAAAAGAAATGCAATTACAAAGCAATAAAACGTATGTCAACAGGGTTACATTTTAAATCTAACTGCTCAATGAACATTTTTCATTGCACTTTTCTTTCCTAGGGTGATTAAATGCAAATATAGGAGAGTAATCGACAGAAAATACTAAAATACAGATAGTGCATCCACAAGGGGTGTGTGTATCTTAGAAAGAACTAATAAGATAGAATCAAATTAATTACAATAACTATAAAAAGCTCAATTACTAACACTTTATCATCAGATTAACTCCAAGATAATAAAAAGCAATGACAAGTGTGACCCGAGCTTACCAGGACAGCAAGAAACTTGAACATCCCTATCATACTAATCACCGAGAATACGGTACACCATATAACAGAGAAGAAGGACGTTGTACCCATACGAACAAATGAATCAATACCCCGAAGAGCACAGTCCAACCAAAACACTGACAACAGAAGCATTATGTTTGCAAAATGCATGAGCCACTTCAGAACAACCGGATACGCCTGCACAACTTTAGTTCTGACATTATGACACGCTTTAAACATGCTGGTTCTAAGAGATACAAGCAACGGAGTCTGCCTGGTTAGCCACTCTGTAACTGCTGTAAAGATGGAAAACATTGACAACCTTAATCTCCTAATTATCACATTATCAGCAAGCTCTACTTTTTCCACCACACTTCTCACATGCACACTATCCAGTATACAGCTCAATCTACTCCTTATACTCTGTTGACCTCGATTACTTCTAGGTAGAGTCCCATTCTCTTCTTGTACAGAAGCTTCAGAATTCACACTGCCATCCCCTGAATTCGCCTCAAAGGGCAAGGACTCCTCCTGGTTATGCTTTGCAGCCATCCCCTGCTTCTCTTTCCTATAAGCCTTTTCCGACCTCTGATCATTGACATAGTCATCACCCGAAGAACTAGCATCACATGAAGCCTGCGAAACTCCGCCAGGCCTATCCCCGTCGGCGAGTTCCTCTCTCGGGAAAACCTTCACCGGCCCTCCTTTAACATGGTCCTTCATCCCCGGAAGTACACCACTAGAAACCCCTTTCTTATGATTCAACCGGTCCACTCCATTCTTTTGCTGATTACCCTTCCGAGCCATGTGGCTTTCAAAACCTTAAGCAATCACTCAAGAGGCGGGTTCCAACTCAAGCCATTTCAAACTCCATTAGCACTAACGCCTGATTAACAGATGAAAACGAAAAATTAAGCCTGTAATAAAAAAAATTAAATTAAACCCTAAAATCAGAGAATCCAGTGGGAATAAAAAAACAATTTTTGTGCACCGCGTGAAGAAAATTAAAAACAGGGCATAATTAGGGATAGAGATAAAGAAGAAGAAATAATAATAATCAGTGATCATATAAGAGAAATAGGAAAAAGCAGGAGATCATGGCGAAGGAGGAGTACCTTAAGCTAGGGTGCGCGACGATGAGAAGAAAAGAGCATCGAAAACCCTAACGGTGAAGGATCGTGTATATGCGAATTAGAGAGAGAAAGAGAGAGAGGAAGGAAGGGGTGTGCAGTTTGTTTGTAGAGCGAGGAGTGGCTAATGTATGTGTCATCCACTGCTCACAATTTCAACAACACAACCACTTAATTGCAAACGGAGATTCCCTGTAATGTAACCAACCAAACACACCTTAACTTACCTGTCCCCACCTTCGAGTGCTAATTATATACATGCTTTCATATTTTTGTTTGCTAGATAATCCATAACTAATTATAGTTTAAGCAATTTTCAGCGATAGGAGTTGATTCACGTTTAAGTAAGGTCAGGATTTGAATCTTGTCTTATATATTACAGTCACGTTAAATTTTGGGGTCAGCTATCCTACCCGTTGAGGTGCTTCCAACGTAGCAAGGAGATTAATCACTGCTATCGGTAGTGAATATTCCAGGGACGAACTAAAAAAAATACTAATTATAGCTAGGTCTATCACATTTATGAAATAGTTGAATTTCATTCGTTGCTTATTTCTTTGATTAGGTCAGTTTATTTCATCAAATAAATTTGGGATTAGGTTTAATTATTTTAATGAATGATGCTCATGTTTTATAAGTTTATTATTAGTGGTTTGCGAATTATTTACTTATTTAAATTAATGAAGAAAATCATATTGTTTTTTTGGTATTTATTTGATCATTATGAAAATAAATAGAATTTTGTTGAAGGTGTTAAAATTAATTTTGAAGTTTTTTTCTAGTAATCGAGACATTAAGAATTTTTATTTATTGGATTATGAAAATACATTAATACATAATTTCTCAATTTCATATATTACATGTTCAACACATATTTCAATTTATAGATTATTATCTATATATTAAATGTTAAATCAATAATAATTTAATAGTTAAATTATATTTTTAACTCTTTAATAATACTAAATTTATAATTTTGTTTCTTTATTTTTAAATTTGTAATTTTAATTTTTTAATTTTATAAAATTCATAATTTTGATCCTCTCATTATGTCTATCTATTAATTGTTAAAATTATAACATTGGTTATAATTTTATATCAAATAGATGACATAATAATTAATATTTAATAATATTCAGGCTAAATTATATTTTTAATCTTTTTTTTTATCTCATAAAAGTAATAAAATAATTTAAAATTAAAATTAAAAATGTAATTTAATTTAAATATTAATTATTATATCATTTATGTAGTGTTAGGTCACAATGAACATCACAAATTTAACAATCAAAGGATGAACATTCAACGAAAAATCAAAATTATAAATTTATAAATTGGAAGACTAAAATTATAAATTTAAAAATAGAACAATCAAAATTACATTATAAAATGATTAAAAGTACAATTTAGTTTAACTTAAAATAATAATAAAAACAAAATTAATTAAATTGTAACCAAGTTAAACAACTGAAATTCAAATTTGTAGTAAACTCGTTTAAAGAGGTAAGTTGGGCTTGAACAACCTGATTTTTACAACTCAAGCCAAGCACAGGCTGAATTCATTTTCGTCCTTTTCTTTTCTTTTCTTTTTTTTTGGTAAAATCCCTTAATTGCATTCATTCATTTAGTTTTTTTTTATTCTTATCTTATTATCATCTTATTTATCGGTTTCTTTTCCATCACATTACTTATTAGTTATCATAATTATTATTTTTTTCCTTTCTAACATTTCCTTTTCATTTTTTCTTCTCCAACCTCAATCTACTCCCAAAATGTTCAAGTAAACATAAAATTCCCTTAATTAAAAGTGTAAAAAACATAAGAAAGTAAGGAATGCAAAACAAATCAAATTAGTTTCATTTCGGCCAATCTTGCTAAAAATAGTTTGAGAGAGACTGACCCACTTTTGATAAATGGGCTAAAAAAATGCAACTTGCTTAGTTAAAGGTGGGTGAGCTGAATACCAAAAAAATAAAATAAAAAAAGTAGATAATTATAAATTACAAATATAAAAAAACTTATTAAAGAAGATAACTTTAGACTCTTATAAGATATTATTGTTAATCAACTTCAAGTTGAAATTCAAGAGTTTTAATGATTACAAATATTTTTATGAGTCTCTTGAAAGAATGTAATTTGTATTAAGTGTGTTTGTTCTGTGTATGTCTAAATTTTATGTTTTATGCTAAATTCATAGAGTATCTTCTAATGTTCTATAAGTTTATGGTTGATGATCAAAAGTACCAAGAACAAGGCTTAAAATTTGGAAAAGAATGCAAGTGAAAATTCAAAAATATGAGTTTTAATCCAAAATAATCGATTATCTTTAAAAATAATAAATTATTTCCCCCTATTTTTTAAATGCTTCATGGCATCTTCAATAAATAATCAATTTATCTTACAAAATAATTGTTTTACTTGTTTTTGATAGATTTTCATATCTGCGAGGAACAAAACAATCAATTATTTTACAAAATCATTGATTATTTCATGTGTAAAATTCTTTATAACAAATTTTACTTCAAAACTCAAGAATGACTTTTTTTTTACACTTCTAAACACCTAAGTTAGATATTGAGTTGCGAATTCTTGATAGAAGATTGTGTGAAACTAAATTTCATCATTTTTATGATTATTTTATTGTGAATCAATAATGTATGGATCATCATCAATCTATGTGAAGATTGTGAATTCTATTGGATTTTGATATTCACCTATATTTTCGATCATGTTCATCAGATGATATAATTCTTTTATCTTTGTTGATTTCTTAAGTAGGTTTCTTAATATACATACATACATACATACATACATACATACATACATATATACACGTGTATAAGGTTAATTATAGTATATTTTTCTACAAGGGTGTTTTTTGGAGTTTAAGAAAATTCTTTAAATTTCTAAAACTAAATTACACATGGTTGTGATTGTAAAACTTTGAAGTTTAGGGATTTAGTAAAATTCTCAATCAAATTGACTAAGAGATTAGATGCAGGTTATCATGGTTGTGACTAAACTAGTATGAAATTTTGTACAAACTTTTTTTTATCCTATATTAAGTTTACTCGATTATTATGTCTTGATATTGATCATATATATGTTTATTCAATTAAAAGCATGTCATATTAGGAAATTCATTAATATCTTACACAATCTAATTTCAACATCCCTATTTCAAATTTGGTTAAAATTAATTGAGTTAATTGAAAATATTTTAAAAAGTTTTTAATTCAAAAAAGATTTTAGATAGCTTTTTTAACAATCTATTTCACCCTTTTTTTAGGGATTTGTTTGCTTAATTTTTTTTCCTATAAAAGTGTTTTTCAATAAAATAAACACTTATTTACTTTTTGACGTGTTTGTCTAAAAAAAATTATTTAAAAAATGAGCAATTTTCTGTTTTTTTTCGAAAGTAACTCCTATATGCTTCTTAAATAATTATTTACAATAGAAGTACTTGTTTAAAGACACTTATTTTTAAGTTTAAATAAATACTTGTTTAAAGACACTTATTTTAAGTTTAAATAAATAAATTTTAGATTTGTCTATCTTTTCTAACAATCACTCCTCCATTTCCTTTTTATTTATTTATTTTTTACATTTTAACATTTGTTATCTATTTCAATTTCATTGTCATTTAAAAAAAAATATATATATATATATAATATTAAATATGTTTTTTCCTGTTATGGCATTAATCATTATTAATTCATTATTTAATTATTGGCGAAAATTCAAAAAGAAAATTAAAAATATATTAAAAATTTACATATTTTATTTTATGAAACCACATGTATTATTTATATTTCTTATCTCGTATCAAAACCTTAAACGTAAAACAAACGAAAAAGGGGAAAATCCACAAATTAATTTTTAAATGTACTATTCTATTCAAATCCTCTAATTGTTTTGTCTTCAATACTAAAACGAAGGAAACATACAAAAATAAATTTATTAGCAATAAATATTTATAACTTATTTATAAAAAATGTTTATAATAATTTTTTCATGCATTAATTACATGTATCAGAACTATTGCAGTTTTCATTTCATTAATTATTTGAGTGTATAAGAGCCACAATAAATTTGGAGGTAGAAATAACAAAATAATATATATGAGGAAGGTTCAAATGATACCGGTGTAATTTTTATTAAGTGTTACATCGCTCAATAATTTTATATTAAATGTGAATTTTATAAATTCAACCGTTAGATTGAAAGTTCTTTACTCTTAAATCATATATACAAAATTTTATAATAATTCAAGATGATTTTATATTGAGGAGGGTTCAAACGACACCGGTGTAACTTTTACTAAGTATTACATCACTCAATAACTTTATATTAATTGTGAATTTTGTAAATTCAACCGTTAGATTGAAAGTTCATATCACTTTATACGTGTATATCAAATTTTGTTAAAATTGAACAACAACTTGAAGGTAATCAAAGTGTTCATATTTTAGTATATTTTAAATTGAATATATTACGTCAATTTTGTTTTATAAAAATGAAGTATCAAATCATCTTGGATTAATATAAAATTTTGTATATATGATCTAAGAGATATGAACTTTCAATCTAACGGTTAAATTATAACTTTATATCACTTTATATGTTTATATCAAATTTTGTTAAAATTGAACAATAATTTAAAGGTAATCAAAGTGTTCATATTTTATTATATTTTGAAATGTATATATTAAGTCAATTTTGTTTTATAAGAATAAAGTATCAAATCATTTTGGATTAATATAAAATTTTATATATATGATCTAAGAGTAAATAATTTTTAATCTAACGGTTGAATTTATAAAATTCACATTTAATATAAAATTATTGTGAGGTGTAATACTTAATAAAAGTTATATCGATATCGTTTGAACCTTCCTCATATATATATATAATATATATATATATATATATATATATATATATATATTGAAAAACTTGTGAAAATATATTAAAAATATCTTATGAATAAATCATAAGACTTGTATGTAAGTTCTCTTATAGAATAAAATGAGTGAAAATAAATTATTTACAAACACTTTTAAACGGGACTAACCCTTGTCACTAAGTTTAATAAACTAAACTTTTAACCTACTAAACCAGACATTATTAGTCTTGCTGCTCTAATACAAAGTTAGAACAGCAACATCCAAAATGCTTGTTGAAGAACTGTGTAGTGGATGGTAGTTAAATCCATTGCACACAACAACCCGTGAATATTGTGTTTCTTGGTACAGCTTTTGACCAAATGCTGTTCCTCTCTCTCTCTATTGCACAATTCCAAGAAAAACACCAAAACATCACGCAAATCAAATCCACTGCAATGCTCACATGCTAACTAGTCAATGTTTTTTAACAAAATGCCATGATATTACCATATTCATTTTTCCCAACAATATGTCTCATAGTGTGTTTGGAAATACGTTTCCACATATTTAATCACGTCCGTTCGAGATCAAAAACGTGAAAATAAGAAGTAAAATTTTTTTATTTCTCCGTTAACGTGATTTTCAAACGTCTATCCAAACACTCACTCATTAGTGCCTTGTAAGAAGAATAAGGACAATTTTGCTCACTGAATTTGCCCCCCAGCTTTTTCTCCAGACGACTTTGAATAAATTCCTTCAAAACACTTCTAAAGAAAAATCGAAATAAACTTTTTTATAATTTAAAACTACATTATGTACAAGTTAAATATCAAATTTTAAAAAAGTTAATAAGAAAAAGTTTTTATAAATTAATTTATACATAAGTTAATTATAATTTATGAAAAAACTTATTTCATTTTCTTTTCTTATGTTTTTTCTCTTAAACGTGCTTCTAAGTTTATTTAAATATGTCTAAAACGTTTTCGACAATACTCTACCAAACTGAACTAACAGATCCAAAAGCAATTTCAGATGTATTTCTTTTTAATCTGGGGCCCACACAGTCATTGTTAAGAATCAATAAATACAGACAGATGATCGTGACTTCTTGAATTTTGTAGTTTTTTAATTAAAAATGTATGCTGTTTTTGCTTTACTTTTTTTAAAACTCTATTTTTAAAATTAAGCAATTTTTTTTTTCATTTTTTTCTACTTAAATTCTCATTTTTCCCAACATATTTAGTTATTTACAGATAGAATCAATTAAATAGTCTTCTATTCAAAATTCACTAACATCTTAACTTTCAAACAAAAGAGTCTTTATTTTTCTTCCTCAAAACCCTATTATCATATTTTACAAAATCCTTCAATTTTTATTAAGTTTTCTCTAAATATCTTTCTTTTAAAACTATAAGGAGATGTTTGATAAGGGAGAAAATTTTCAATACTTAGAAATTATAATTCCTAAAATTATAAATCTTGAGAATCATAATTCTTGGGATAGCTAAAGTTTGTTTAATTACTCATAAAAATTTATGAAAATATTCAAATGAAAATCTTGATAATTAAATATTTTTATGTTTGGTTACAATAGTATATTCCTTAGTTTGTAATGTTTTTTTACAAAATATTCTTTATTAAAATGATCTTACTAGATATATTTATTTACTCAAATCTTATTATAAATATGACATTAAACTATTTTAAAAAGTTGAAAACTTATAATAAAAATGATTTAAATGCAGAATTTGGCAAAAGAAATAAAAAAAAATGTTTCATAATAAATAAGAAAAATAAAAATATATTATTTCATTTCATCCAAATAAAAAAATATATTAATAAATACATTAAACTATAGAAATAAAATAAACTCTAATAATATTATTAAAATTGTTAGGGTTAAAAATAATGAAATACAAGAAAAAGAGAGAGAGAGAGAGAGAGAGAGAGAGATGAGAGAGAGAGAGGGAGAGGAAGAGTGATAGATAGAAGGAGAAAGAGAAGTAGAAGGAGAGAGAGAGGAAGAAGGGGAGAGAGAGGGGGAGAAAGAGAAATATAAGGGGGGAAAGAGAGGGAGGGAGGGGGGGAGTGAGTGTAAGATTGAGAGAGAAGAAGAAAGAGAAATAGAAGGAGATAGTGAGGAAGAGAGAAAGTGAAATAGAAATAGAAGGAGAGATAGAGATTTTTTATTTTAAAAAAGGATATTGTAATTTTTTTTTTGTATAAAATTTTTTCTCTAATTCAAAAAAGTTGGATTTCTACCCCTTTTTCATAAGAATGTTTTTATGAGAAAATAAAATAAAAATAACTCCAAAAAACTATATTCCTAAGATTTTTTTAAAAATAATTACTAAACATGAAAAATCAAGATTTTTAATTTAAAATTTTAAAAAAAGTAAAATCATTTTGGGTAACAAACTCCCCTTAAAATTATTTCACATCCTATATATATCGCAATCTCTTATAATTGAATAGAAAATAACAAATTAAAGATCTCAAGTAAAAGAAAATTGATACTTATACGAACTAAGCTTACACCCAATTTGTATCGTACCCGTGTAAGACCCAATCATGTTAGAGAAATTTGACCAAAATCATTGCCAAAAAAAAAGTTATTATAGTATTCGTGTGGCCTGGTGAGCCACCAAATATGCACAACCAACATTATTTTAAAAGGTACACATTTATTATAAATCTCGTTACTCTTATTGATTTATTACAAGAGTGCTAAATCAAATATCAATTTGAACCAATCAACATCAAGTCCAAACCTAAAGCCTCGTTCATATTGGACACAACACTGACATCATCTGTGGAAATTTGATAAATCTAATTCCCACCACACATGGTCAAATATTAGAAGATAACATCAAGTTCGAACTCAAAGTCTCATCCATTTCAGATAGAACATATGGAGACCAAATTTGCTTAATTTGAAAAGAAGAATTAAATTAGCTTCAAAACAGACCAAATTCGCATTCAATTCAAACTAAAGGGTTCTCCCAAAAAAAAAAGTTAGACTAAATGGAGGAGAATTAAAACCCACAAAAGAGCATAATCATATAATTCCTGAATATTCAGCAAAATGGGCCTAGCCTTCATTATAGAACCAACATCCTAAATAGAACAACTCTTATGAAAAAGGAAACAAGGACCGAAAAACGTGTATTCCTTTGAAGGTTAAACGAATGTAAACCCAAAACTGCCATTTTTCTTTATAGGCTACAGTTAAGGAAAGGCACAAACCATGAGATCAATATTTTTTTTTTATTTCTTTAGATCATATTATCACATGTGAATCCTACTTATTATGTTGAAGTGTTATCATATGTGAAAGATCAAACAACCATCTCCATTCTCCAAGGGGAAAGTGATCCGATTGTGTAAGCAACACCATCTGGGAAAAAGGAAACAAAAATCTTCATTCGTGCTAGGTGCAGTCTACCAGGCATCTAGTCTAAAAAAAATTGCTGAGTGCTGAAGTTAACTGATCACCGTGTTAGGTGTTTTATTCACAAGCACACAAGCTGCTGAATGCTAAAGTTACTAATCAGTGTTAAGTGTTTTTTTCACAAGTACTCACGCTTTTATTTAGCAAGAACACTAATAGCTTTTATTTAGCAAGAATACTAAATTAGTGTGGGTATCTACCAAGTACTAACAATAAATTCAACCCATCCCTGTCATCCGTGCATTAGAGAAAGAAGCAGTACTCATGCAGTTTCACACCGGGAGAAAAGAAAAATTATAGGTGATTGAGTAAGTTGCATATAAAAGAGGAAGTTTGCAATTGAAAATTGATAAGTTCAACAAACTGAAATAAATACATAAAATATAGCCCCTGAATGCAGAATAATAAGATAGTACTGTTTTAGCTTGAAAAGATAATTAGATAACATAAAATAAAATAAATAAAATACTGTGAACAGGACATATATTATATGAGTTTAGTTTTCATGCATTTTCAATGTAAAGATTTTACAATGTCTACCAATCAGAAATCATCCCAACAATGACTTTTAAATAATTATTATAAAAAACTTCCTATACACATCAATTTATGATTGAATGACACCGTAAAAAATATTTGTACAGTCAATGCATTTCCATTAAATTCATGCTACATTTCTATACCATACTGTTTATGAATATTCACGGAAAATCAAGTCATAGCATCAATTTGGGATCACAACTAACAATTATCCTAATAAAAAGTAATAATGTCAAGGATTTGAAGTTAATATTCTGATATGCAGATCTTATCAAAGATAAGGAAAGATAAAGAAACAACCTAAACGGAAAAAATTCAAGATTTAAATGAAAAGATATAGTATTTCTAATCAGTAGAATTATCTGGTGCCTTCTTCCTGTGGATTGCTGCCCCACAGACTTATCCACATCAAATACATGTAACATACCTAACAATTATCACATCTGCAGAACTTACTTGAAAGAGGAATCTCATCTTATTTGTACTTTATCTGAGAAAGAACAGATAAATCAACTAGATGATGCTAAAATATTTGTGACAGGACCTCCATGGCAAAGTCAACGAAATAGTTTTGAAATAAAGACACTGTATCAGAAAAATACAATATCTTAAGCAAATAACAATGACAAATGAGTATCAAATACTTGCAAGTTGCAACTAGAAATGTATGTACAAAAGCTATTTATTGAAGCCACACCTCAGTTACGAGAGACAACAGTGAAGCAGTATAACAGGATTTCCATGGCAAAGCCAATATCATAGTTTTATCATGACTGTACCAGAAACATATGATATCTTCAGCATATAACAATGACTTAAATGAAAACAAAATACTTGAAAAATATGTACAAAGTTATTTGATATAGTCACCATGACTCAATTACATGAGAACATTGTGCTGCGATATGCATGAGCAGAAAACCATAATGGGAGTGTTGAGCTATACTTCACAGAGTACATTTCTTTCCAAACTTGACTCTTGCGATGATACACCAAAATCTGCTTATGAGTTGCTAAAAAAACATATTCACCTGTCTGACTGATTGGGAAAATGCCTGGCACCATTCCTCTGATACACCTCAGACTCACCTTATCCACCATACACCATTCATCTTTCCAGTAATCTTTTAGCACCCATATATTCATCCATGCTTCTGAAATTTTAATAATAGACAAGGAGCCATCAAAGTCCAAGAGATAAATCCGATTACCCGCTCCATAAATCAAGTCATACGGTAATTGCATCTTCCTCCAAATGTCACAACTCAAATCAAGCACAAGTATATAAGTAGAGCTAACAGTTAACCAGTGCAGAGCATTGTTGACAAAAACAACTTGGTTCTTATTCATGTGAGTAAAATGGTCATCCTGGAAGGAAACGAACTTCCTCCACTTGTTCAACTCCGAATCAAACACCAAACATATGAAGCTCCCATCCGGCCTATGACCAAACGTGCGATGGTAGCCGGCTAGAACAACATTGAACTTCTGATACATGGAATCACAGGCCAAGCCAACCAAGGTAGCTTCGCCGTCCGGATAAAATCGAGTAACCGGCCTTTCCCTCCTCTTGGGAAGCAACCGGTACTCGCGAGTGACTGGATTGCAAACATAGAAGACACCCTTGTCAGGAATACTAGAGCAACACAGCAATCCATTACAAGATGCTCTAACCTTAACTCTATCATTCAAGAAATTCAGTGAAAATTCAGACACACCCCTCAAATTATCAACACAGATTAAGCTAGATTTGGACTCAGCTGAATCCGAAATCTCCACCAGAATCATGGGGTTCTTCCTAGACACCTCATTGAAGAGTTGAATGAAATACTTATCCAAAGACAACTTATACCAAAGTTTGCACACGGTTTTGAACCTGAAAAGGGACCTCACAGGCAACCTTGCTAGAATCTGAATAACCACCTCATCCGGGAAAACCCCATCCCCTCGCATGTCCATAACGGAAAACCTCAAACACGCAATCAGATTATGAACACACAGCAGATTTTATAGGAAAATAAAAATCTGGGCAACCAAGAAACAAGGCAAAGATTCGAACTTTGCTTACCGGAACAAAATTTGTGGAATCCGATGAAGCTTCACTAGATGGGGTAGGGACAAAGAGGATTAAACTTTAGGGCAGTGGTGGGTTTGTGATGGTTGGAGAATGGGAAAGGGAGAAATGGGTTTTCATTTGCCGTTTTTTACAGTTGAAAAAAGAATTGGGGATAATCGAATTTCAGTCGTCATTATCGTCACACACACGCACACTCAAGAAAGAAAATAAAGATATTAAAGTAATGTAGCTTAGCGTTTGCCACAAAAGAGGGAAGACTAGGTCTAGGTATGTGGGAGGGGTGGATCCAGTTTACAGCTTAGGGATTCAGACGAGAAGCAATGTGAATTGGCAACATTGGGGAAAGAGAACGATAGAGAAGGGGATCGAAGGAAAGGAATACACGATGAATGAGAAGTAGACACAGCTGAGAAATTTCGGAGGATATGTATTATGTATGATAAATGCAGAATGCTGACCGAGAGAAGTTTAATTATCATGCATTATTATTATTTATTTTTTTCGTCCTGAAATATGGAATAGCTGGTCCGAAGATTTAACGCAGCTGTATACATAAGACAGGATTCGAATCCCTGACCTTGCTTAAGCATAGATCAAACCCTATCGCTGAACTACACGTTTGAGGTTTATCATATATTATATTTTATTATATACTTTTCTGATTAAAAATTATTCTTTTAAATAAAAATTAGAGTCATTGTAGTAATACTAAGTCTATGAAACTTAAAGAAAAAAAATTAAATCCTTTAAATTTAGTCACTTATTTTTTGAGTTTTGAATTTTTTGAGTTTTAAATTAATATGACTGTAAAGTAAATTTTCATTTTTAAAAGAATATTAACAACAACAAAAAATTAATTTTAGGAACTAATATGAAAATGTTTTCTAGATTTAGTTTAGGTGTTTACTCTAAAAATTATTATATACAATAATAGCTAGATTATCTTTTAGTTCTTCTAATAATATGTAATTTATAATTTTTATCTCACAATTTTTAATTTTCTAATTTTATTATCCAAACCTTATAACAGATGTCATTTTATTCTTTCACTAAATTCATTAGTAGTTAAAATTATAACATTGATGGAGTTATAAAGTGGTATGAAGGGAGGGATATGAAACTGAAATGATAAGGGAAAAATGAGTTTGAAACATCTAATATTCAATGATCAACTTTGAAGAACATATTAAGAAGAAAGCGAATTAATTATTATATTATTTTTTTTAATATTCAATATTACAATTTTAATTACTAATGAATGAACATTTAATAAGATGACAAAATTGTATATTTTATAAAATTAAGAAACTGAAATTGTGAAATTAAAAATTTAATGATCAAAATTTTAGATTAAATATTATAAGAAAGTTTAAAAGTATAATTATCTTATATACTATTATAATTGAATAATGATACAATTTTTAAGACTGTATAGAAAGGCAAGATTCGAACTCCTGACCTTGTTTAAGGTGGATCAACCCCTACCGCTGAAGCACATACTTGAGGTTATATACAACCATATATAACAAAACAATAATACTAAAAAGAATAAAACTTATATGAAAGATAAACCATATGCGTTGCTTTTTAAGTATTTTTTATGTTGCGGTTGAATTAAAATTAGAATTTTATCTTAATAGATATATTTTTTTTAATGTAATTTTTTATTATGTGAATTATTGGAAAATTTCAATTTCAATTGAAAAACAATACTAAAAAATACTTATAATTTTTAAATTGTCAGTACAATTTTAATTAAATTATTTGTAATCCAATAAACATGAATAATTTGATTTGATTTTTATATAAAAATAATAATTTTGGTTCCTTAAATTATTATCCTTTTTAAGATGATTTTTATTATGACGGTACCCTATTTTTATATACACAAATTTTTAGATTGTTTTGTCTTAATAATTATTTTTAAAGCACTATTCCCCACCATCTCACTATCTTTTTTTATTTAATTTTTTTTGTTTTTTTCAATTCTCAATAAATTTCCAACTAATTACCAGTTTTATTATTTTTATTTTTTAAATAATAGAGGTTAGTAGTGTCTCTCCTCAATTAGAAGAAAAAAAAATGCTTTGTGTCTTTTTATAATCAGTTACGGTGGTGTAGATTTATTTTATTTTTAAAACATAAAGAAATAGAGATGATAGAAATTAAATAGAAAAAATAATGTTTATTTAATTGACAAGACAACTTGTAACTAGGAAGTTATGGAAAAAGACAGGAAAAGAGGAGAGGGGATTTTTGTCCCAGTAAAAGATGAGCCAACCATAGTCCATAAAACAACATACTCAGCAATGTTTTTTTCATTAAGAATATGCTTACAAGTGCTTATTGTCTCTTTATCAACTTAACGCAATAAAGAGTAAAGACTAACATGTAGTGTATGTTTGGTTACAATAAAATAGACTTGCATAAATGACGCAGAACCAAAAACACTAGTAATGTAACTTCGTTTTGCATGGCATGAGTGAGGGAATTGAGAAAAACAATAGGGGATGCGAGACAAAAGATTTGAATCCGTCAAACTTGCAATTCATTCAACCACCCATTAGGAGCAATTCTTACAATGTAACCTTCTCCCCTCAAGTGCATTTTCATCTCTGAGATGGAAATTATAAACAATATATAGTTCATAATCGTTAATCCCATTTCTTTCATTAGCATTATTTGATTTTTGTTCTTGTCTAAAACCTAACTTTAACACGCTATACCAAAACAGGGTGCCGTCATAGTCCTCTAGAACGCCTCTAGTAAATTGTTCCTCTAACGAATCCATCACTGCAATGCATAGACATGCTGAAGTATGTGCACAAACTAAAATTTCTAATCCATTCAGAAGAGAGTTACAATGAAGCCTAAAGTATGATCCAAAGATTTAGAAGTATGCTAGAAAGTATACAAAAGTAAAAATATGAAACATTATTTCTCAGTTTTAAATTATATATTTTCGGACATATGGTTCTTTTGGAGAAATAATTGACCGAAGAATAATGTCAAGTAATTAGTAACAAAAGCAAATATTCAATTCATTATGTTCTTAATTAAACATGAGCTTTTTCGATTTTGGGTCTTAACATCATATACATACATGCACGAAAGTAATGTCAGTGGGATCCTCACTAAAATTAGAAGGTTGACGTTGCAGTTAGCGCCTGGGTGGACATCAGCAATACCAACATATTTCACATATTTACAGATTACATTTCAACTCCAAAAAGTGCTCAATGTTAACACATTTAGTAAAAAGCATTTGGGATATAGGAGGCGTGAGTGAGTGACGGTAGTAGAAAGCATTTTCAGTGAAATAGCAAGGTGGCAGGAAGAACCTCAAGTAATTCACTAATGATCAGGTCTTCAGCCCTAAAAGAAGCCATAACGAACACATAAAACCAAAGCATTCAGTTTTGACTCATCATGTATGGGATCAAGCACTCAACTCATAATGAAGTGAATAAAGCTCAAATATATAAAGCGAACGGAACAAAAATAATATAAGATGAAAAGTATGAATAATTAAACATAACAAGAGTATAAGACTATAATTCTACAATATTTTGACTCAGAATTCGTTCAAGCATAAGTGCTTAAACTTGCAATGCCACAAATTTCTAAACACATTTAACATTTCAAACTATAATTGTCAAAATTATTCACATGAATATGGTAATTTGGTAGAAAATGGGAAACTCACTATGTTGGTGTGCAAGTGTGAATGAGTCCTATATTGGATTAAGTTGAGATGTGTTGAGTAACATATAAGTGATAAAGGCTTACAAGCCTGATGCCTTAAAATTTTTGGTTAAAATGCAATGTCAGGTTCACTTGTGTATTTGCTCATGGCCGATGGAGTCTTGACTGGTGTTTAATCCTTCATATTTCCAAAAATCGGCATCAAAGCCAATGGTTCAACCAGTTAATCAGCTCAAACAAATATTGGGTAGTAATTGGCAATGGATCCATGTAAAGGTATCCTTGTTTTCAAAGTCTTTTTGACGGTACAAATATCTTGAACGTCTTGGCAACAATGGCCAATGGCTAAGATTAGGGGCCTAATGACAGTGCAAGCAGCAGTACAGGTATCTTGAGCTTATGCTCGAGGAGAAGCATGCCATGTGAAAGAGACTCGAAGAGAAGATTGTTGATGTACAAAGTCTTTTTGACGATACAAATATCTTGAACATATTGGCAACAATGGCTAATGGCTAAGATTAGGGGCCTAATGACGGTGCAAGCAGCAGTACAGGTATCTTGAGCTTATGCTTGAGGAGACGCGTACCATGTGAAAGAGACTCATGCTTGAGGAGAAGCATACCATGTGAAAGAGACTCATACTTGAGGAGAAGATTGTTGATGTACAAGTGTGAATGAAAATAATTCTATATTGGATAGAATTAGGTATGTTGAATAACATGTAAGTGTCAAAGACCCATAAACCTGATGTCTTTAGATTTTGAATTAAGATACAGTGTCAAGATCACTTGTGTGTTTGCCCATAACAGATTGATGGAGTTCTCTCCGATGTTTAACCCCTTTGTATTCCAAACACTTGCAATAATCATTCACCAAAATTCATGTTAAAAACATATTCAAAGACTAGAAAAGAAAAGCTTGTACCCCAAGTCCAAAACATGTGATAAGTGCGAATTCTCCAATACAAAACCAAGAGAAAAAGGTAATCCACTTATAATGGAGAAAATCCTCATAGTCAAGAGAGAGAATTGAAAAAGACAGGAATTATTTGTTACCTTTAAATGAAGACATTGCTCTAGAAATGCTGAAGGAACCACTATATTGCAGCCTAGCTATGAAGCATGGACTCCAACATGGACTTACACACATATAAATACTCTAAAAAAAAGTAAATATAAGAAACATAACAAAAACATATAAATTGATAATCTAGGGTTGGATATTTACCTTTTTCTATGATAATGAGTCTCAAACAAATAATAAGAGGCATTGTTCTACAATGCAAGTACTAAGTGTGCGTTTGGTTTATCATTTGAAAAACATTCAATGGACTTTCACACATTCCAATGCACAAAATATAGAAATAACTCTTTTATCCCATTTGATCAAAAACAAGTTACGTTGAATGTAACTTTTTCACAAACAGAGCCTTAGTCTCTTTACAAAAAAAATGTTGAAATAAGATGATTGATATATTAGGAGAAAAGTATTTTAGTCTTCTCAAAACAGCTTACTAGTCTTTACTTTTTCCTATGATTATATAAATCTCACAAAAAAGATAATCCTAAGAGGGATTATTGTTTCAATATTTTATATAATACTTTAAGCTGACATTTTAGAATGCTAAAAAAATTGAATATTCTTTCATAATACCAATGACTTTGAAGTGCCCAATCATATGGCAGTGTTGGCTCAAGTATTTGAGCCATCACAAAATGAGGTGTCGAGGAAGTGGCACCGTGTCGGTGTCAAAAATGTGTCCTACACTCGGATACCCCAAGCAAGATGAGTGTTTGTGCTTCTTAGAGCCTAACAATAAGAAATGAACAGTTAAAATTAACATTTAAAATATGGGAAACAATTAGAAGGCTTCACACGCAGTATGCAGTAACAGGATTAAAGGGGCATTGCCAGCACGATGTGGGGTTACTCACTAAGGTAATATAAACGTAATGAAGCTCAATGGATTATACCAAGCAAGTCATATTAAATGAATAAAATAAATTAATAAAATTAAAGGATGTGTTGTTTAAGTCATACCAAAGAAGCAAGCACCCATTTTCCATCACTCCATTCTTGATGAGGCCTCAGATGACAATGCTCAAATTCCATCTCCTCCTTTGTAGGCCAAAAGTAAACCTTATACTTGAAGCCAAGAAGAACACTAGATACCTGACCTACCCACCATCCTTCATTATACCAAGCATCAACCATTTCACGCAGCACAAAGTGGTGAACATGTTTGACATCTGGTGGATATGGCCTGATATCTGAAACATCTGCTTCTTCTTTCAGTTGTTCAGTTAAGTCATCAGTTTTCAGGGTCAAATACTCCACCAAGTACTTGCCATTCTGTAAAGAGTCGACAACAATGGCAGTATACCAGGCACCTTGGTAGCCTTCTTCATCACTTCTGACTTCTACCTTTGCACCTTTACAGAGATGTACCACAGATTTGCTTTGGGTGTTTGTGGTCCTTGCCATTACATCTCTAGGCTTCTTTGAACTCTCACTAGGCTTTTGACGTTTCAAGACTAATTTAATTCCAGTGAGATTCTTGGTTTTAGGCTTCAGATCTGCATACTTCTTTGCCAGCTCACTTGATTGCTGATATTTTAAAATCCACATCGTCAGATACATTTAAGCATTTCGGCCAAAAAGCAGAATAAAAGAATGCAATAGTTTAGGAAACCAATAACATAGTCTGGATATATTACTGTAGAATCAAAGTTGAATGCAATTATATTGCAACTGAACAGACAACTTTTAATCAAGTGCCAACCATGAATAGATAACAAATTAAGATGATGCCAATGATTTGATTTTGGAAATTTCTTTTGCTGGAAATTTTTACAAATCTTTATCTCAGGATCATTCATATGAAATCTCAAGTTTCAATTAATGGCAGAACTCTTCTGGAGAAACTGATTTATAATATAAACTAAAGTAACAAGATACAAGATAATCCAATCAAATCTAAGAGAGTTTGGCAAGTTTTTTGTGCTTGATGTTTTATTATCCCCTAAATCAATTTTTGGAATTGTCAATACCAGTTGCAATTTCAGAAGAAGAAAAAACTCACTATAAAAAGGAGAAGCTTCTGAGTGTTTTACCTTGGAAGACATCACCCATTTTCCATCCAACCAGTCTTGATGAGGCCTTAGTTTAGAGTTTTCAAATTTCAATACACCATTGTGAATGAAAGAAACCAAACATTCTCTGTTACTCAGTACTTCAAGAACCACGGCTTCCCACCAGCCATCATTATACCATGCATCAATTTCTTGGAATTGTTTGAAAGAACCAGCAAAAGGAACTTCAGGGGGGCATGGCCTAATAAACCTTGCATCAATTACTTCTTTCAAGTGTTGGATGCCACCATTGGTCTTCAGGTCCCTATATTCTACTTGAAACCTGTCTTTTCCTACTATTTCAACAATAGTAGCAAGAAACCAAGCACCCTTATAACCTTTGTCATCCTGGCTGACTTCCACTATTCTCCCTTTTTTAAACTTTGATTCTTTTAGTGGTCTCCTCCTGCTGTATTTGATCCTAAACCTCGAATTTTCAGGCTTTGTCTCTGTCTCAGGGAGCTGCTCCTGCAAATCAAGTTTTCTGCAATTTGTCTGCATCTCAGGGGCCTGCTCCTGCAACTCATGTTTTCTGCAAATTAGCAAACATCCAATACAACTTCAAGTGTTTAATTTGAACTTGTAATTGTCATAGAAAAAGTGCTGCCTACTACAAAAACATGAAATGCATTTAATAATGCCATGGATCATTTTAAAGTATACCATTGAGAAAAACTCTCATTTTGCCTGAAGATATTAATGATGAGTGAAATGTAGAGAGTTATCCGTATTTATATAGACAATCACTCCACTAAGAGAACATTTCTATGTAGAACATTGGATCAAATACAGGAATGCACATCCACATTGACAGCTTGGCATTGACCCACTTTCGTTTACAACAAACTTTCACAGAATATGCACCGGATATTTTACCACCGTATATACTAACTTCCCCAAAGATAATCCAAACCAAATGATGGTTTGGGTTTTTTTTTTCAGTGCTTTTAGCTTTATCTTTCAGTACCAAGACTACAATATCAATGAAAAATCCTTAGAACAAACACCCTAACAAGAAAAAAGGAAAACTATTTTCTTGTGACAATCAATAGGCTCTTATACCGATCCTCTGCATAAACAAAACAAGATCCAAGTAAGCAACACTGTCTGTGTAGACACCACATGCAAAACTTATAATCATCTGTCATTCTCAAACAACGTCTATGTTTCATGCAAAGACACACAAATTCATTAGTACACTTTCTTCCACTGACAACAGATAGGGATGATAAAGACTTATTGGTTCTGGTATCACTGATGATGTAATGTTAACTAACAAGCTCAAACAATTAAGACCACAATAAATAATTCAATTTTGTCGAAAAACTTCTAAGCTGGTATAAACTTAAGGCTCTTCCTTTTCAGGAATCAACAGAAAGTTTTTATTACAAACTACAATAAAGTTATATGGAAGAGTATAAATTTGTACTTTTAATTCCTTAACTAGTAACCTTATAACATTTATTAGCATTTTCCTAAATTAAAAAGACTATATAACAAATTAAATAAATAGTCAAGTTAGTCCAAATCATTAGTATCCCGTTAATCAATTAAAAGATTTAATATGTCTTGAGTTCCTGAACTTTTACTAATTTCACTTTTAGTCACTGAACATTTTTTTATTAGTTTTAATCCCCAAAAAACCATGATGCTAGGGAAAAGTTCATTAATAGGATGAAAAGTTCATACACTAAAAGTGAAAATCAACAAAAAGTTGAGAAACTAAAACTAATAAAAATGTTATTTAAGGATCAAAAGTAAAAATTGACCAACATTTTATATTCTAAAGACATATTTAATTCATGAATAAATTATTCCCCAAACCCAAAGTCCATAAAGCATTAAACCATAATTTATTAGCACAAGTGAACAATGTATGAGTTCATATGTAGGGTACGAAAAATAAAAAAAGAGAAATTGAAAAGGCGAACCTGTTCGGGGAGAGGTGGGACCCAGTTCCCACGCACCCAACTCCGGTGAAGGCGGAGGGCGGAGTGGTGGACGACGGCGGAGTGGGAGCCAAAGACTACTCGGTAATCGGAGTTTTGGAGAATGGCGGCGACGGTGGCGGGGCACCAAGCGCCGTGGGTCTGACGGAAGGCGTCGACGGCGTCGCCGACTTTGAACCATGAGTTGAGCTGGGGCGGAAGCTTGGGACGGACGTTAGCGACGTTGACGTATTCTCGGAGGCGGTTGGGGGCGGCGGTAGCGAGGTATTCGAGGAAGACGAGGTTCTTGTTCCTGGAAGGGGGGCGGATGACGGTGGCGGGGTGGAAGCAATCGTTCTTTGTGACCTCCACGGGATCACCCTTGCTGAAGACGAAATCGGACATTGTGATTGCAAATTGCAATTGCTATGCTCCAACCTCACTCGCTCATAGGGTACACCACTCTGTCTCTTAGCTTCATTCTACTCTACTATACCTTGTTAGATACACCCAATTTTTGTAATTTACCATGTATGCATGTTTAGACCTTCACATAATATATTTTGAATAATGAATTTATTTTTAGAAACATTTATTTCAAAAAATAATCTAAACCTTGTAGATAATTTTAATAATGTTAATAGTACTGCTTTTACATGTACATATATTTAAAAGAATATGAATTTTAATTTATTTCAAAATATTAAAATAGTCATATAATATTAAGTTAAAAATGCTTTTTAATATTTTATGATTTTATTCTGTATTATCTAAAGAGTATTTATGTCATTTTAAATATAGATTTTTCTCTCCCAATTTCTTTCTAATAAAATAAGGAAAAGGAACATATTTAGCGTTCTTTCCTTCTATTTTTTTTCCCTATCAAATAACTAAAAATATCTATTTTACTATTCTTTTTCTTTTCTTCTATTTTTTTTTTCTTTTACATTCTTTCTTTTTACTCTTTTCTTAACCAAACGTAGCATAAAGGAAAGAAAAATTAAAAAAATATAGTAGGTCCCTTATATTTTCTAATCCTTCCAAAGCCGGAAAAAAAAGGATAGAAAGTAAAAACACGAAAATATCATTATTTAATATATATTTTATTAAAGAAATTTATGTTATTTTATATACATTTTTTTTTACCTTCTATACATTAAACAAGAGAAAATAACATTTTTATTTTCTTTTCTGCCAGATAATTTACAAAACCATCTTACTTTCTTGGTCCTTTTCTTTCTTTTCTCTTTATTTTCTTTTACTTTTTTGTTCATAAGCCAAAAATATCATAAAGTTTTAACAGTGTTTCGATTGTTCCTAAAACTGAACCATTAAAGAATGAGCTGTATACATGAATGAAAGAGCTTGCTGAGTCCCAAAACTCCAGGAAATAAATTGCAGAACTAGATAACAAGACAAGTCATTCTCTTTACGTAGGTCATAATGGTCTCGAGTCTTAACAAGGAGCAATTCCCCATATATATATATATATATATGGAGGATTTTATTTACTTTAAAAATAAATTTATCTAAATTTATTTCATTCAACAACTTATATTTTACATTAAATTTTAATGATTTAATTGTAGAATTTAAAATTTTTAATATATAAATTAAGTCTTCAAATTTTTTTAAAATTTAAAAATTATTTGATATTTTTCCTTTGAATAAGAGAATTTTTGCAAGTTTTTTTTGTTCCTTTTTCATCCTAAATAGGTACACAAAATTAATGTCGGAACAACTCCACTTTGTCCACATGTTAATTGATTCAGGGACACATACAAGTTGGTATATACCTTTCAAGTCGCCCTTTATCCTTATGTTATGCATTATTGGTTTCTTGATTTGGTTGTGCACAATTTATCATCCAGATTCACTTCTTGGAATAATTTGAAAGGGTACCTTGACCCTTCACCCCTTCTTCACACTCAATTATTAACATGTTTATGTGTTATATTTGCCCACCTTCTATTTCACATCCCTACCATTATGTGTCTCAGTTTTCAAGCGATTCCTTGTCCAAGTATGACCTCCATTATTTTTCATGTTCTTCATGGGTCACATCAACCCACATCTCACCCAACTCATAGCCACAAGTATTTGCTACTGCAAGTGGTACATTTTCAAAGTCTTTATAAAAAGTTCAAGGGTTCCACACATTCATTTTGGACGTGAAAGTGGATGTCTTACCAAACCAGAACTAGAGTCTACACTTTGAATTATATGTTTCTACGTAATAAAGCTACTCAAATGCACCATACTTATCTATTTCATTGAGAAAGTGTTGTCAAAATTGACCTTTGTGGGAAGTTTCTTTTTATGCATTTTTTTTTAAATTTAGATAACAAGTATCCTCTATTGAAGGATTGATAATTTTGTTTGATTCGAGTAGGATTACCATAGCAACAAAATTATTCATCTAAATATTTAATATAATTACATATTTAGTACTCTAATTTGAATATTTAATGTTCGGTGCTTTTTGACATGATTCATTTGACTACAAGTGAATCTATTATAATTTATGGAGTAGGAGGTGGAGGAGAGAAAGGTAAAGATCGAGATTAAGATTATATCATTAACAAAACATGTAACATATGTAAGGTACTAAAAATTTGGCTTTTACGATCTTTAATTGAATAAAGTTTTTGGGATGTCCAAGGTAAGAAGAGAATAAAAGGACAAATAGTGGTTTAAAGACCAAATATTAAGGCAAACCTTATTAGCCACTATGTACAATATATTTCATTGATTTAATTGACTTATCTTAATAGGTCATGTTAATTAGTAGCATGGACAAGTCCATAATTGCAACTTGGGAGGGGCCAATTCATGATTTAATTTTGAAGGCATGAACTAGATAAATGATAATCCCTTATCTTCCCCTATCTTGTTGATTTGTTTTCTTCTTTTATGCAAGACAAGTGAGATAAATGTCACGAGCAAGCTCAATCTGGCAGTACATGTGTCTTAGAGCCCCATCTCTCTATCCAATGCATAGGATAGGACTCAAAAGGCATTAAAGTCACTCTGGCCAATTGAATAATATTGTAGAATCAATGACCATTCTCCTGATTAATTAGTACTATGCAACTTGAATTGCAGATGTTCAATTAATTATCTAGTGCATTTAACTAAGTGTGATAACTTTCCAACCAAGTGAGATGGCTGCAATTTTGATGCTCCAAACGCTATTTCCCTATCCCTCTGTTTATTTGGAAGGGTGCTTCAGCCATTCCTTTCATATAGCAGGGCAAGGACAAGCAATTTGGGATAGAATACAACCTGAGCCCATAAGGAATATTAAACCCCCCAATGTTTTTGATGGGGCTGCCAGTCACCTACCCTCCTCAAATAGTGAAGAATAATAATAGGTTGCAAATTACCACTTTCTCCTTGAATTTATTTTGTAGATTAGAAAATATGGTAATAACTAATGTCTATCGAAAACTGTGAATATATTAGGTAGATTTTTTAATTAAGAATATAAAATATTACTATTTGTATTTGAACATCTAGTTTATTCTAAAGATTTTGTGATATTGTAAATAATTATTAATAATTTTTAATTATTTAAAAAATGTTATACTAACATCTTTTAGATATTATTCATGCATGTAAAAAAAATATTAGTATTCAACTCAGGGCCGTAAACATTATAAAAGTTTTTTTTTTTTTTTAAGTAAGAATGACAGTGCAGTTTCACACTATCTCATTGGATATAACTGTAATTTACTCAAATATTAAATATGTCAGCATCACAGTTGTTTTCTTAGGGGTGGGGGATAGAATTTTAACCACATATCAATTCAAGCTGCCTAACATATTGTTTCCATCAATCATGGGCACGTGGTGGCCCAACCTATCAAAATGACTAGCCTAGACAAACATTTTGCTCTGTATACATACTGTATGCAGTATATTCCAAAATGGATGCATAAAATTTAGTGTATGGACATGCATTGTGGTTATGCAAGTACGGGAAAAGAAAGAAACAAAAATTGCGACGCATCAACTGGGAAAAGCTTTTGGTTAGAAATTTAATTAAATTCCATACCTTGACTTTAAATCGAAATACACAAGTTACAACCGTAAGTACTGTGGTTTCCGAGGCATTTATGATTGTATCACAGCCACGTTTATCCATAATTAATTTCACCATTTTACTAACTACAATGTATCCGCGATCGCTTTCATGATTTATAATCACGTTGCATAGTTAAGGTTTAAGTAGACCTAATTGCAATTTGGGTTGGTTTAGCATAACCCACATTTTTGCCTTGTATTGGTCATTAGGTAGAAATGAGAATAGACTAGGTTAAGTCAAATTTTAAATATATAGGTTAAATTTGTTATATAAAATTATAATCTAAGTTTAGTTTATTATTTATTATAAATAATTTTTTTATATATATTTAGTATAACCTATTAGTCTATTTAAAAATCTATTTAAATTATTAATATTAATTAGATCAATAAGTTTAATTTTTAAAAATTAATAAAAATATTTTAAAAATATAATTTATTCAATATTATTAAAATTTAAATTTTAATAATATTGAATAAATTATATTTTTAAAATATTTTTATTAATTTTTAAAAATTAATAAAAATATTTTAAAAATATAATTTATTCAATATTATTAAAATTTAAATTTTAAAAGAAATATAGAAAAAAAATTGAATATTTTTTTATTGAAAAGACAATTCATACGTAATCATGTATGTTGATATAGTCGTAAGTTTATAAACTTATAATGAAAAAAAATTATATAAAAAAATGAATTTTAATAATTTTTGTTTTATAAACTTATTAATTTTTTATTATATTATATAAATAAATAGACTAATTTATCACGCTTAACAGACTTTTTTATAAGTCTAAACCTGATCTTTTTATATAATAGATTTTTTAAAAAATTTAAGTCTGACCTTTTTATTAAACAGGTTAAGTCAGACCAAACTTTAATGTGACTAAATTATAGGCCTCTAATTAAGGTTTGTCTTATTCTCATCCTTATTGATAGGTTAAAAAGTAAGAGTAAACTACATTATTCTCTTTGAAATATAAGAATATTGTATTTTCGGCACCTCTTATATTAAAATATATAACTTGATAAGTATTTTTTTTATTTCCTAGGAATGTAGTTTCTTAAGAACCATTTTTATCATACTTTTTTACAAAAATATTTTTACAGGAATCCAATTTTTTTAAATTAGGAAAAAAGTTTAATGTATATAAAAATATAATAGTATCTTTTTTTTAAAACATAAATCTCTCTTTCTCTATCTCCTTCTAATTCTCTTTCATTCTCTCTCTCACTCTCACTCTCCCTCTCTCTCTCTCTCCTCTTCTATTTCTCTTTCTTCCTCTCTCACTCTCACCCCCCTCTCTTCCTCTCTCCCTTTCCATCTCTCTCTCTCTCTCTCTCTTTCTTTCTCCATTTCTCCTTTTATTTCTCTTTCTCCCTCCCTCTCTACCTGTCTCTCTCATTCCCCTCTCCCCCATCTCCCTCCTTCCCCTCTCCCCCATCTCCCTCCCTCCCATATCTTTATGTCTCTCACTTAATTAATTTATTTATTTGAATGAAATGAAATATATATTTTTATCCCTTTTAATTATTATATGCAGCATTTTTCTTTGTTTTTTTTGTTGAATTTTGTATTTAAATAATTTTAACTATAAGTTTTCAACTTTTTAAAAATAGATTTAATAATAGTTTTTTAATATAAATATATTTATTTAAAAATTATATATTTAATATACATATTTTAACATTACATTAATTAAATGTAATAAATAATACTTTATCATAAAATATTAATTTATTTATATATTATCTAAATATTTTATTAGTAACATTAATTAAATAATATATTAATTTAACACACACATATATATATATAATTAATACTATATAATGAAAATATTAGTTTATTTAATTTTATAGAAATATTATATTAACTATATTAATTAAATAATATCTCAAACTTATATTTGATTTTATGATACTTATATATATATATATATATATATTATTTTTATTTTGATATATAACTTTAAAAATATTTTGTAAAGATAATAGTGAAAATGTATTTTTTAAGATATAAATAGTCAATTTTAGTAAAATTTATAATAACTTTTAAAATAATAATTAAATATGTAAATTAAGAGATATATTGTTAAAGTGTAGCATGTTTAAACTTTTTAGGGGAAAAATATTTATAAGAAGGAAGGGTGATATAATACTTACATCTACAATGAGATATTAATGTAAAAGGTGTTTTAGTCTCAACTTCTTTTTTGCAATGAAAATTAACAGAACTTTAACAAAAGATTTTAAATATAAATATTATTATACATTAGAATTTGTCGAGAGAGAGGGGACTATAATTTTTAATATAAGAGGGGAAATAATATAATATTTATATTTTTTAAAAGAAAAAAAAATGTAATTTAGTCTTAAAAAAAAAATAATGAAGCGGACCAATCCTATGTAATAATGGATGACATTTGTTGTCAACTATTAATTTTGGCTTTTACTTAATTGTTTTTTAAGCTCAGAAACCATTACATTTCCACTTCTCATATAAAGTTGCACTAATCACATAGTATTATCATATATGGAAAGTTCATTTATTGACTTTTAAAAAATTGGAATGATTTGATTACTTGAAAATATATTGATCAACAGTGCTAATTCAATCCGTAATATGTAGCACGTAGAATGAATGAGAAGTTTGACTCCAGTTATGTGGAAGTGTCAAAGGTAATTAATTACAAGATGAAGGTAAACAAGCCACTAAAGATATAAGAAAAAGAGGTTGTAAAGATTTTTGATGTGCCCAAAAGGGTTCAAATGTGTGAGACTTGTTGCACAAAATGATGATGTCTATGAATGGACAATGAAAAGTTAAATGCCTTTCCTAGAGTATGAGTTAGTAACTATTTACCCCCACCCCACCAACGGGGCCCCTATTCTTTTTTGTGTTTGTAGTTTGTGGCAAAGAGAGTGACAACATGAAAGGGTGAGGTTGAATAAGTTTCAGTCACAATGATATACTTAAAGTATTCCTTTTGAGGTCATTTGGTATTAGGTACTACCAGCATTGGCCCCATCTTGGTCAAGCCTTTTTCCACCTTTAGGTTACATGCGAACATGGCTCATTCATTAGGTTTTACTTTTTGCTCAATATCATTCCATTCAAGACCTTTGGAAAGCAAGGGAATGACATCTCAATAATGCCTTAATGGAAAAACAGAGAATAAGAAATACAATGATGTTTTCCAAGAAGTGAAAGAGGGAGCATACCAAATTTAACATAAATAAAGAATGGTTAGATGTACAATTAGGAGGACCACACAAATGATTATTACATTCGCATCACGGCAAGGAGGCCATGAATTTTAGTTTTTGTTAAATAATTAAATGATATTGTGAAATAATTCTTTTATTAGTATTGTAGTTTTATAAAGTTTAGTATAGGGAGGTAATTACATATATCAAAGCCTCATCCCACTTCAAAATAGTCCTTTGTTATCTAAAATAAAAATAATAAAAAAATTAGTCCTTTCAAGAAAGTGTATATATACACTCAAGATCAAATTTTAGGGGCCTCTAAATCTATACCTCTTTGTTTACGAGGTTGTACTCGTTAGTGAAATTCTTAATGATATATTTGAATTGATGATTAAAATTTATATGATAGAATAAAATGTATTTTTCTTTTTTTAAATTATTACATTTCTAGCGTGAAATATAAATCAATTTTGTTAATAAACAATCACTGTTGGAGAATTTAGTTGATTTCTTTTGGTAAAATTTATCCTCTTCATCATGTTTTTTCATCCACAATATTTAAATTTAATATTTTATTTGAAAGATCAAAGTTTAATTTTACTAAAATCAATTACATAATGGAATAATATAAAAAAAATTAAAAATAGCACCCTATAGTTAGAATATTTAATTATGCAGTAAAAAATAATATTTTATTATAAAATCAACTGTCATATATTAAACATAAACAATTATCTTGCGTAAAAGATATTATTCAATTTGAAAATTTTTAACAATTTTTTAAAATTCTTATATAATTTAATTTTTTATTTATCAT